TTCGGTAAGTAGTCCGACTACGTAGTACGTCGACTAGTTAGTTTAGTTAAGTAAGTAGGGTAGGTTAGGTTAGTTAGGTAGGAGTTAGGTTTTCGTTAGTAGTACGTGTCTCTCTCTCTCTCTCTCTCTCTCTCTCTCTCTCTCTCTCTCTCTCTCGGTGGCAGTAACTGGATGAGGTTTACTAGGCATTTATTCTCTCCCATAATTTTGGCTTTTTACATCAACCATATGCTTTCATGTTGTAATTCTCTGATTCGATGAATTGAGTGTTTTTTTATCAGAGGCTCGAGCTCTCTTTGATTAGATGTCTTTTAGGACTGTGGCTTCTTGGAATGCCATCTCTTTTATTTGAGGAGCCATCTCTTGTTATTTGAAGAATGGGAAGTTGGGTTATGGGAGAATTGGATTTTTCTGAGTCTCTCGCTTTCCCCCCCCTCTCAGTGGCAGTAACTAGATGAGATTTACTAAGCATTTATTCTGCCTTGCATGACTGACTTTTTACGTCAACCATGTGATCTCATGTTGTAATTATTTTTACTTACTTTTCCTCAAGAAAAAAAGAATTCTTTTTACTTACCAAGTCTTTTTTTCAGTTACTATGGGTATCTGTCTTCAGTATTAATGTTTGAATAGAATTGTTTCTTCTGTCATAGCTCAAACATGTACTAAACAAAGGTGTTGCCACATATGGATGTTGTTACCATTGTTGGTTTACTCAAGCAGCTTTTGTTTGGCTTTATTTTGATGAGTTATCATGAATTTTGGGATCAGACTGATGACTGCAGCCTGTTTTCTTGGGCTTTATGGTAAAATGCTTTCTGTTTTCTCAACTGCAACACTGCTAGCCCCAACTATTGACTTCGCCTTTTGTGTATCAGTTTGTATTTCGAGAGAAGAATGGGGTATTTTTATGGTTTCTCTGATTAATTTGGATACTTCTGTTGATTCAATATGGAGAATGTGAATCCTTTGAAAATGACATACCTCATTTGGGTGCGATTAGTTTGGGAGTGGAAACCATTTCCAAAATATAGTTGTTGTGGCAAAGGAGCTCATGGATGCTCACTAAAAAAAAAAAAAATGAACAGACAGTTATAACTGGCTTATTCACAGATCTCCAGATTTCCAGACTTCCAGGCTCAATCAAAAACAAGTTTTCGGACTTCTTTAAAATTCCAGACAGGTTATCAAACAAAGCAATTGCCAGTTCTAGAATGTTAATTCCAATTCCCATGAAAGAAGAACTTCCAATTTCTAGGGAATGTTTACGTTCTAGTCATCAAACTGGCCCTCAGAGTGAG